AGCCCCGCGCCCCGGGAGGGGGCTGGGGAGGGGGAGGGGCGCCGGCCGCCTTAACTCTTCAGACCCCGGCCGCCGCCTCCGGAAGGGCACCTGCTGGCCCGGGGCCAGGCGTGGGAGCGCGACGCCGCTGCGCCCTCCGTTCCCGGTGGGACCCTCGCGCTCCTCAGGCCCCCAGCGCACCAGCCCGACCCCTCCCCTCCCAGCCGCGGCTGCCGGTGTTGCTTCCCTAACTTCGGGCACCTTCCGCGGCCAGCGGCCGTCCCACCTCCGTGCTGCCGCATCCCAGTGTTGGGGGAAGGGGCGCTCTGCCAGCTCGGTGTGGCGCTACTGGGAGCCGCGCGCCAGAAGGACAGTAAAAGCCCCGCAGGAGCCCCCACTTCCTGGCAGTGCGGGTCCGATGTACCTCCTCGGGTTTCTGCCTGCCCCAGGTGGGCTTACAAATATTGTACTCTTAAATAGGACAATGTGAGGGGACCCGATGCCCACCCAGCCCTGTGGGAGATGCTTGCGGCCCCATGGGCCATGAGATTGGCGCCCAGGGAAGAAAGGCCCGAATCCGTGCCCGGGTGTGCCCAGGGCCCCTGCAGGCCAGGACCGGTGCTCAGGCCGCGGGCTCCAGCACCCTGGGAACACATTGCAGGACCTAGTAGCCGGGCTCAGGACTGTCCCTCATTCCTGCTTTGGGGCGACTTGGGCCCCTAGGCCTCCTCTCCTGCGTCCCCAGGCCAAACTGGACTGAGGGAAGCCCCAGGGGATGGGGGTGGGGCCGCAGCTGCTGGGCTGGCAGCTCCACCAGCCTCTGAGCCCCACCAGCTGGGTCCCCATCCCACGTGAACCGTGGGGCTCCTATCTCCAGGGGCTTCCCGGGAAGCCAGGGGCCAGTGGATTCGTGGATCCTGGCCAACAGGTCCCGGAGGGGGTCTGGAGCAGGAAGCTCTTATCACAAGGCTGCACCCCGGGGACATCGCTGCCAGCAAACCTCGAACCCCAAGGCACTGGGCGGCTCTTTCTCTTTGGAGTTGGGAAACGCGCTGTGGGGAGCCGCCCTCCTTCACTCCTTCCACCTTCCCTCCCCCGAAATTCCTGACTTCGGGGTTGGTTCTCCCACCTACCGGCGAGGCGGAGGAGGCAGCTCCCCTTTGCGCAAGGTTCGCATGGGGGAGGGGCTGGCCGAGGGGAGACATCCAGGAATCCCAGAGTCGCTGGCGCTGATTTATGACCCGGAGGAGGGACAGCTGGCGCACAGCAGTCCCCAGATGGGTGACTGCCGCCCACAGGTCCTTCCTATCACGCACACAGGACAGTGTCCTCAGGCCCTGGCCCCTTGATAGCTGGGGGCATGGCAAGTTGAGATGCCTAGGCTCCTGAGAACCTGCTGGTTTTCTCACAATCCAATTAGGGAGGGTCCCTCGCACAGAAGTTGGGCCAAGAGCCCACTGAGCCCCCTTGTGGCCAGGCTAGGCCAAGCCAAGCCTCTGCCATCCTAGGGCAATGGCCGGGCAGGAGGAGGGGCAGCTGCCTTAGAATGCGCTGAGTCAGCTGGGCCATGGCACCCAGGGGGTTAATCCCTGTGCTCCCCCCTTCCCAGCGACAGCTGCCCCATGAACAACTGGCTACAGGCAGTAGTGAGCAGAGTGGGCAGAGGAGAGAGTGGCACCAGGGCGGGGAAGCAGCCACTCTGCCCCCACCTCTCACGCTGTGCTGGGGAGGGGGCAGTGGGCACAGGAAAGTAGGAGGGTAGGCATCTGTCTCCGCAGGCTGACCGGCTAGGCTCCCAGTAGCCAGCCAGCCAGGGTCAGTGAGCCGCTCTTCCTGTCTCCCTCTGACTCAAGGCAATCCAGCCGCCTCTCCCTCTTCCACATGGGGAATCTCAGTCACAGGACAGTCCCAGAGAGCATGCAGGTCAGTATGAGGGGCGTGGTCAGCTACACCAGACATCTCCCACACTTCTTGGGCCTTTGGGACACGAATCCCTAATGTGGTCGGTCCCCTTACTCCTGACAGGGTGGCATCAGAGTGTTATACCCCAAACCCACTGGGGAGGGCTGTCCAGGAGAGGGCACTGGGAAAGCAGCTCCTCCTCTGTCCTACCAGCTCTGCCCCTTGCTGCCAGAAAACCCAAGACCCCACCCAGCCGCAGTACTGGGTGGGGAGTGCTGGGAATGACAGTCCTGCTGGGGAAGGGCTAGCGGATGGTCCCCCACCCTGGGGCAGGATCTCTGACCGCATCTGGCCTCCGAGCTCTAGGGAGCTGTGCTAGGGACACAGGGCCATACTCACTCCTCCATCAGCGAATCAGCAAAGCCGCCAGTGACCACGCAGCCCTGCGCAGATCCTGTGCTGAGCCTTCTCATGCTCAAGGCTCCGAGCAGGTGCTCTCCTGTGCCCTGTGAGGCTTCACACAGGGCTCCTGCTACTTCCTGCTGTGGGCTGCAACCCTGCCCCCTGCCCCTGTGCTCGCAGAGGTCTCTCTGGGCTCTGACTTCAGATGGGGAAAGGGGTCTGGGACATTGGGGCCATATTCCTTCCATCAGGGCTGCTCCCACTGAGGACCACTGACCAGGTCCACGGGGCAGAGGAACCCAGCGTCAGTGCAGGGCTGATTCTGGCAGCCACGAGTGGTCTGGTCCAGGTCTGTCCTCAGGGAGGAGGCAGAGATTGGACGACACCAGGAGGGTGCTCACTGGTTCCTGAGCCTCCTTGGCCACTGCTTGGCCAGAAAATTAACCACAGCCTTCACCTGACATCACCACTGTGGGAAACTGCCTGGGAGCTGGTGGAGCGCACGGAGCCCAGGGCAGCTGCCTGTCTGCAACCTTCCAAGGGTCCCCAGGCTTCTGCCTTCAGGAGAGGATGAGGATGGGGCAGAGCTGGCCTGAGGAGGCTCTGGAGGCTCCAGGCCAGCTACCTGCCTCTGCCTGCTGTGGGGCTTCCCTCACAGGAGCAGGGCCCCAGGCTTTGGCCACGCCCACCAAGGAAGCCCTCAGCAGGCTCCTGGTTTACCTTTGAACCTT